GCCCTGGAAAACACAGTGCACACATTTCTATATCTTTTCCTCCAACTGGAGTCTAGAAATTAAGTCTGTCATCATAGTCTTTCCTCTGTCCCTTTTTGTGACTATCCCCCATACCCACCCCATGCCTGATGCACATTTCTTTTCCACAGAAGCCTACAGGATGCTCAGGAGACGTCCAAAAAGATATCAATTCTTTCTGAATATCACCAACACACAATAAATGTTCCCTTTCCACTCAGCCATCAGCAGCTTTCCCACAAGCTCTTCCAAGAGTGTGAAAACTAAATCCTAGTAGGCTGTTGATTGATGAGTTGTGATAAGAGATTTTTGCTGCTTAAATAAGGGTCTTTAGGGGAACGCCTTTAGGAAATCACTCTAATGCTAGAAGTTCATGCACTAAAACAGCTGGGTGATGAATATTTGGACAGGAGATCCTGTCTTGTTCCTCTTAAATGAAACAATAGACGCAAATGCTCATGTCCTAGAACAGATCCACCAACAGTTTATGGGGCTTAAAAATAAAGCCATTGGATCTTCCAGTATATTTTACCTCCTTAAACCAATGTCCTTTTTAAAAAAATTATGCATTTTTAGGTGTTTACCATTAGTGTGTTTATTGTCAACTTAGAACCTTCAATATTGCAGACACTGTGTCAGGGACGTCTAACTCAGAGATATTGTAGGCAGCCTTGAATAAAAGGGAGAAAGCACAGCAGCATTCAAGAGCTGGATTAGTCTGCTATAGAAAGGTCTGGAAAAGCCAAGTTACACACAATTAATAGAATAATACACAATCTGTCTTCAGTTGGCCAGGGCAGTCTGATCCTTTGTTCCTCAGCTGTAGAACAACCACACACTCTGATTTTGTGTCACTGTCTACTCCATGGTGATTGCATTTTCAGTGAAATCTATATTTCCATGCAATCTGTAGGTTTTAAAATTTCTTTTTACTCTAAAAATAGTGGTCCTTCTTAGAATTCAGCCTCACTCCTTTGCTTGCTGTTCAGGCCATGTTTATCTGAGTCTCTCATATTTATTTATTTATTTTGCAAACTATTTCAAAAACACAGACAAGAACAAACATAGCATAGGGAAGAAGAGGAGACACTGCATCGTAACTGAAATGTACCTATAGAAAACTTTTCAAGTTCTACTGATATTGCTCAACTCATTTAATCAAAGTAGCACACCATTTCTTTTCTAGGGATTAAGCAAATAGTCACTGAGTGAACAACAGAATCATTTAACTTGTAAACACTTTACCTGTGAAGGAGAGGGGTACCACCAACTAGAGGACTGTGCCATCAGAGTTCTGCCAGATTCACCATGACAGTCTACAGAAGATGCCTCTATTTCTTTCTGGTGCATTTATGAAAGGCAATTCCCCCATCCACAGGAGTGTTTATTATATTTCACTTACTAAGATCTCGGCAACCTCCTAAATCCTTAACATTTTCTCATTTGAGCCTTGTGATCAACCTTCATTCTTCCTTGTTCAGAGTATTAGCATCTTCATATTAAAAATGTACCTTACCTGCCCAGAGTCACTTACTATGATGATATGTGTTAAAGGAGGCAGAGCTTGGGTTCAAATTCTGGCTGAGTGCCTTTAGCAAGCTTATTCACCTTTCTGATTGGAGAAAGGGTTGGTGCAAGAACTAAATCAGATTTAAATGAGCCACTCTTTGTAAAGTACTTAGAACAGTGAGTGGCACATGGAAGAGGATACATAAGTGTCATTTAAAAAACAAGGCATAAATATAATAAAGTCCTACAGCAAGGGAGGGGCTAAGCCTGGAAGTACCTGAGATGTTGCTCTCCAAAGCCATGTTCCCTACATTTTTTTTCTGTGATAAGATAATACCCCAAAATCTGAGTTCTTGAAAGCGCTGAGCCAGAAAGAAGAGGACAAAGGAGAAAGAGAGTGGAGTCTGGAAGTACTAGAGGGACATGCATCTTCCTTCACAGCTTTCCAGCTAGCCCAGACAACACTCACTAAGTTTTGTTTTGGTTCTTAACTGGCTGGACTTTCCCACTCTGGTCAGGCATCCCTGGAAAATCTACGCCATCACTGCAATATGTATGTGAACCTGCACACACATCTGGTTAGACATATGGGTTTGGCACCATCTTCCCACTTTCATAAAAACTGAAGGCTAGTGACCAGCTGATGGAAGCACTGTCCATGTGTGTGGGTCTTTGGTAAGACAGCAAAACTCATTTCCCCCCTGAGCTATTTGCTGTCAGCAGTCAATTCTTGAAGGAGGAAAGCCACTACACAGCTCACAATTGTTATCAAACTCCCAAGCTCTTATTTAATATTGGGCAATATTAAATCATACAGGCCCCCAGGTCACTAAGTATATATCTCCTGTTGTAACAGATTGGTTGGCATTTGAGAAGATTTTCCTTTGTGTATAAGAGTCATGATGCTATTCGAGAAAATAATACAAAGGAAGAAGTTCATATCTGAGGTTGACCCTCTCTTTTGGGAGAGGAGGTCTTGTATCAAGAGGTAGATTCTACATTCTCATTGTGCCAATTTGTTCCTGACCCTTGGGCAAGTCAATTTCACTTGTGCAGGCCTTTCTTTCTTATGTCTATGGTGTAGTGTCTCTTTCTTAGGTAGTGTAGTGTCTGTAGTGTCTGTTTGTAGTGGATTTTAATTCTCTGATTTGGTAGTCAGGGTCTGGAGTTGAAAAGGTGAAGGAAAGTAAGGGTCATTTCCAACACACTCTTCTTTTCTATCACTTATCAACAGGCAAAGTGGTGAATTTATCAAACTTTCACCAAGGGTAGGCTCCAATTCCCTTAGAGATCTCCCCAACCTCACAAATAGAAACTGTGTGGTCAGAGGGAGCATTTTATTTTGTACATACATATGCAAAATTGGTTCTGTTCTAAAGCACACTCTTCTTGTGATTCATCCATAGAATGATTAGTATGTGCTCTGCTCCAGCTGGAGACGAGAATATTGGGAATGCTTTGCCTACAGTGAAACCTCAATACATGAATCTATATCTCCAGTGAAAGCATTAAATGTCAGGGAACTGAGAACTGTCTTCTCTTCAGTGTTTTACTTGTGTCTTTGCTGGTGTGTTTTGTTGTTATTTGTTTTATCCTTCTTTTCTTACCTTCCAACCATCAGTCTGTCTTTTATTTATTTATTTTTTGACTCAATTCATAGTTAATGAGCTTTATCATACATTCTCAATGGGGACAATATTGCACTGAGGAGCAAAATTTTTTCTTATGGGTAGAAAAAGAAAAACCCTTACTGGTTTGTATGTATAATGCACAGATACACCTATAGTACATAAAATATATAATGTATGTGTGGGATTAAAATTCAGGGTATGGGATTAACTAGGAAAATATCTGATTTTGGGGAGGTGATAATGAGAAAAGGGCTGGGAGGCATTGAACAGGATGTTGATTGACAAGGGGAAGAGACAAGAGCAAACAGTAAAAGCATAGGTTACCAATCGAGGCTTTGAGAAGGCACTTGATAATAAAAACTAGGATTCAAAGACTTTTTGGACAGCTACAGTTTCATTTAGGGGACTTGATCTCCTCAACCCCTCCTGTACTCAGCACATTCCAGAACTGTCTTTATTTACAGGCTTCATGGCATATTAAAAACAAAACAAAAGAAACAACTATTGGGCATGGAATTAATAGACAGAGCCCTGGTACTGTCTATGCCATTTACTGGCTTAGATAAATCATCACCTTTTGGACCTCAATTCCCTGAACTATAAAATTCAGAAAATAATCCCTGCTCAGTCTATTTCCTAAGAATCTGGTTAGGATCAGATGAGATAATGTGAGTGATAGAATCTCCAAAGCTGTGAGGTCCTATGCAAGGATTTAAGGTGAACTCTTAGTTTGTGAACTCTTAGGGTAGTGGTGACAAGAGCTGTGTAACTGGCTACCTGCACAGTATGGCTTCCTAGGACCATATGTTCTAAGCTCTTATTTAATTCCTGCCATTAGTCATTTTTCTGAATAAAGTCCCACATGACTCCTTTGTTGAGCACTTATGTGGCAGGGAGGCCATGAAACTGAAAGAAGGCCGCTAGCTCTATAACAGGACATCTTACCCTTGACTCCCTTCCACCCCATGGAACAGAGTCTGACTCAAGAGGTCCAAATGCCTGAGGACAGGTGATTACATCAGCTTTGTGAACCTACTGTCTCCACCTCTAGAATGGTCATACACATACACCTTGCAGGATTTTAGGAAGATTAGCTGATTATCAGGTTATGCATATCAAGTCTACCAAAATGTTGCCCAATAATAAATTCTCAACCAGCAATCATCCTGGCCCCATTCTTTCACCACCATGTTCACATGTTGTATTTATAAAAATAAAGCCTGGGAAAAGTGATGGCATGAAGAGCTATTGATTTCTAGAAGTGTAAACTAAATAGAGGCTTTAAGAGGGGAATTAATTAATTTTTATGTATTTATTTATCTATTTCTGGGTATGGAACCCAGGGTGGCTGTACCATTGAGCTACATCATTGGTCCATTTTTATTTATTATTATTATTTTTTTGTCTTAGGGTCTTCCTAAGTTGTTAAGGTTGGCCTTGAAGTTGGGATCCTCTTGCCTAGCCTCCTAAGTCAGTGGGAAGACAAATATGTATACCAAGCCTGGAATTTTAGAGGTTCAATTCAGGAGAACACTAGAACTGTCATATAGGAATTATCTCTACAGAGGGAAGAGCAGGACTGGTGCTTAGTAGCAGAAGTATCAGTACAGAATAATTAACACAGTAATTGGAATGAAGGGGAGACAACGGCTCTCTTTCCTTGGGGTCAGATAGCATTAGTAAAGAAGGGGGTCAAGTAGCATTAGTGACAAAGATACCCTCATGCAGGGCCTTCCCTAGCAGATGTTCTAAGACCTGCCTCAGATGACTGTATTCTTCCTCCTCTTCTGCTTGTTTTTTTTTTTTTTTTAATATAATGATTCTTCCCATTTCTATCAACAGATTCAATACCCCTGTCTTCTTTTTCTGAGCGTACCTCTCCCCAACAGCATATACCTGCTTGATCTTCTGAGAACTTAAACAGAGACTCCGGGAAGAAAGTGGAAGCAGAAGTCCAGCTTGGTTCATTGAGAATCACCCGTACACCATATCCTTGCCACTGAGAGTGCACCATTCACTTTTCTGAGCCTTCAAGCACTCTCTTCCCCTATGGTCCTGTATCTGTCAGCCTGTGAGACAACATTCTTGGATCCCACGGCCAAGCAGCCCTGAACTCCAGCACAATTCAGCCACACATGGAGCATCAAGCAGACTGCTGGGCTCCACCTGCTTCTCCAGGGTCACCAACCCAAAGGATGAAGCAGATGTAAGACAGGGAAGGCACCTGTCTTTGTTTTCATTTTCTACCAGGCCCAGCTCTTTGGGAAAAAAAAAAAAAGAAGATTCGTGCTCCAAGCTGGTGCTGCCAAGCTTCCTCCTCTGCCTTCCTTGTCCAAGCACTCCACCGTCTGTGCAGACTGCATAACAGCAATTTCTGGAAACTGGCTGCAGAATCTGGGCCAGTCCAGAGGCAATGAATCCTGGTATCTGTGTGGTGGGGTTTTAAGGATTGTATTTTTCACCTTAATTCTTTTAACTACTGCCAGGTCTTTGAAGCACATCTGTCACCAACAGCTTCTATTTGTAAAATGAGACTGAAGCTATCGTCTCCAGAGAAATTTCGGAATCTTCTCTTGTAGTTCAATGCTTTTTCACTAACAGCTTGGCTCACAAAGTACGACTGCGGTAAATATTAAAGAATGTTAATAAAAATGAGATAAAACACCCAGGGATCTCTTTTTTCCCCCCCAAATTCTGCTTTGCTCACTACAAAAGTTTATCTTGACAGGAAATTTACTTCTGTGATCCACATCATTTCCCAAAGCAATTTTCCAACAGCAAACATAAATTTGTGGAGATCGCTAAGAGGTTTTTCAATCCCTGTGCGAAGGAGGTCATGGGGTTTCCACTGTTTGTCTCACCTTCAGGTAAATGTCCCATACTTGGGACACTCTCACAGGGGAACCCTGAGCAGCCACTAAAGGTCAAGGCCTGGAAGTGTGTTTTTGCATTTCTAACATAAACAGAGTTAGCAGGGGGAAATGATTTGAGCATCAAGATTAAATCTTGGGATGGTAATTAAGTCATTAACTAAGAAAATAATTGCCTAAGCCCACAGATCTGCACTCTCCAATGGGATGAAGCACTAAGTAAATGTAATGGCTTTACATTGCAGTGACCTTTAAGCTGGTTAATACATACATTTATACTCTACCAGAAGTGCAAATTAAGTACTTATCATGAGATAAAATTTGTGTTCTCCTCTTTGTTGTGTTTGCTTGGTCCTTGGCCTTTGAGTCCCAAGAAATGAAAAAAAAAATGACTAAAGTTTGGAATGCAATACACCTAATATGAGTCCCAGCTCTGTAGTACACCAGCTGTATGATATGGAGAAACAACTTCATCTCTATTACTCTCAGAATGGTTTGGAATTTCTACTTTGAAGGTGTTGCGAAAATTAGTATTAATGTATGCAAAGCATTTTACACATGGTGGGTGCACAGTAAGCATTCAATAAGTATCATTAGCATCAGCAGTTATCATTATCATCATCTTCACATTTGGTACCAAACATAACTATTACCAGTTAAATGTATTTTTTGCTGTACACAGTGACTCTCCTTTATAATGCTATTTGCAATACAGTGTAATTCAGCCTATAGACCTCAGTAGATGGTATCACACAAAATAACATATGTGATAGCATTTTATAAGTGTAAGGTTTGATGAAAACATAAGAAACCACTAAGGGGTCTTTTTCGTCTATCCAAATCAACCCCCAGGTGCCAGTTATTTTCATAACCTTCCCTATGCTCCTACCTGCTCTGTTATCTCCTTTCCTTTACACTCATTCAAAGTTTCATGATGAAAGAACATGCAGTTGAAGGTGCACACATACCTATGCAGCCTTCTTCAATGCCCTCAGCTTGCTCTGGGCTTTGTCTTTTACCACCAGAAGTTGTAAGAACCAGTCATTGTTCATAGCACTCATCTTAACCATCTGGGCTGCCCCTCGAGATTTCTTTCAATTGTATTATTCATCCACTTTCTGTAGTATGCATATATATTTTGTGTCATATTACACACTGGTCATGGTTAGGGGACAACTTATTTGCATCAATTCAGTTCAGTTAGTTTCTAGGCACCATGGGGTGACACAAAAGAAAGCAAGACATGGTTCTACTCTCAAAGTGTTTACAAACCAATGAAATAGGCACAATGTCCACACATGTGATGACAAACTAAGGTTGAAGAAGATGCACACTATACTTCAGGTATAGCAAGTTCCCCTGAGGATACAGAAAAAGGAGAGGAGTTTATCAATTCAGAAAATGGGTCGGAAGTTGAACAGGGTTTGATTAAAAAAAAAAGATGGACTTTGTACTGAGTTCAGGTGGGAGGGATTAGACAGGCAGAATGAGAGAAAAGAGCTTTCAAGGAGAACAGTCCATGATATGCAGCAGCATGGACGCAGGCGAGCGAGCGGGAAGTGTCAGCTGGGCATACTGGTGAGGTACTCAACAGCATGTGATGATACGATTTTTCATAAGTAGACACTTAATCAGCAGGATAATCTAGAATCTAATTTTGTTCCATTTTGGTAAAGAATGTATCCTATCGACAACAGGATGAGTAAGTGAGAAAACAGCTAATCACTCTAGGATCCTTCCTCCACACTCTCTGCTAAAGAGGAACAGAATCCAGAGTAGTGTTTCTGCAGGCTCCTGAGGCGAGAATTGTCTCACAGGGAAAGAAACAGAAGGAAGTGCTTGAAGGGGGTTGATGGAGAATCTAGAGCAACAAAAGACTTAGGAAAAAATATCTAAAACTGGAGGATAATGTGGTTGCATCTAGTGGGGATATGGGAAGTGATGGATTTATCTGAAATTGGAGTATAATGTGGTTGCATCTAGTGGGAAGTGACGGGACTCCGTAGGAAATGGTTACGAGGGACTCTTAAGAGGTGGGGTCATAGGGACCCGTGTTTCACTTATCTGAAGACACTCTAGTGCTCAAACATGGCAGGAAGGAGCAGTTCTGCCTGCCTTCGGGGGAACATGAGGGCACAAGACAATAAACAAGGTAAATGGGAGTTAGGTGGCCCAAAGATCAGAACACCATTCCTGAAAGTTCTGGACCAATATTTGACCTCCAGGGCCACTGCGTAATCAAGAGATTGGGATGGTAAGAGAATCTTATAGTGATTAAAAGTCAATTTTGAAAGAGAAAAACTGAGCAAGTGAAATATTTTTACCCTTATTTTAAAATGAATTTTATACCTATTTCATTGGCTGTTACCATACAACCCTGCCCTATATAATAACATGCAAATAGTCATAGTTGAAACGTTACCAGTATTTGTTACAAGTTCATTTTGAAGGCTCATCAGTCAGAAGGCAATCTAATTCTCCATCAAATCTGAGTGTCTGATGAACATTCAAGGGGATGTTAACTTTTATTTACAAGAGTCATGGCTTCTCTGAGTTTTATCAGTTTTCATGAGTACCAAGTGGGCCCACTGAGACCAAACAAAGGGATATATGGGGACTGATGACTGGGTCTGCAGAATAAAAAACTAGAAGCAAAGGTGACCATCAACCTCTCCATGAATGCCCTGGAATAAAAGAGAAATGATTCCAAGGTAAGAATACCACCAAGATACCCTGTCCTGGTCTTGAGGGATAGGTTAGGATGTAGTTGTCATTAGGGATGGACCCTTTCTCAGTACTACGCTGGCAAATGAAACTTGTGATACAAAAGATACCAGTGTGGTAAGTGCTATTGATACTGTCATTCCCCATCTTCTCTATCCCTCACGGTAGAGTCTACCACCAGGATAAAGGCTAAAAATGATATAGGCTCAGTTTGTCAGCTTCCTAAAGCCAGCTCATGACTGACCAGGTGGACAGGTGTCCTTGATGGAAATTCTCAGTAATATGTTTTTTTTTTTTCCCCAAGGGAAGAAAAAAGTTATCAAAATTCTAAATGGAGTCAGGTAGGGCCAGTTCAGTTAGAAAGCTAAAAGCACAAGGTCAGTATCTCAAGGTGCCAGTGGAAACATCATCTCTCAAGGAACAGGGTTGAATCTTCCTCTGCCCCTGAGAGAATTTTGAGGGATTCCTGATGGAAAAAGGGGGATTGAAGGTCAGTAGTGACAGTAGTGAGGGATGATGCGGGGGGTGGGGGGTATTGATGGTTTCACAACAGAGGGAAGGGAAATCAATGGCGGGAAGACTCCATTGAAGAGGAAATGAAGAAGAGGCTGGTTAGGGCCACTGAGAGCAGAAATGAGAGAGGTCATTCCATAGTTTCTGCTCCCAAGCTCAGTCACGGGAAAGGAGGGACTGAAGGAAGTACTCAAGACAGGGCTCAGAGCTGAAACCTCTCCTCACTGCCTTTGCAGTGGTTAATCTTATCCTTTGACGGCCCACTTTAGAACAGGTGGCCAGAGGATGTTAAGGCCTTTTCTGTTTTTGGAGTAGCAGTACGGTACCGTCCAGACTTAGGCCTTTACAACTCCCCAATTCTCTTGCATTTCCCTTCTATTGTTAATTCCACATCTTCAACTTTTAAAAAATGGAATCCTTGGTTAAGATATTAAAATAATTCCTTAAGAACTTGGGTGGTCCCAGTGAATTTATAATGCTCCTTGCTATAACTGCGGTTAAAGCAGGAAGACAAAATTCCTTCCCCTATGTTTAGCTGAATGGAATTATTTCACTCACACAAATTTGCTTTCTCATGGAAACTGAGATAATATGACTGCAAATACTTGACATGATAATTAACCATTCAGATTATTAGTGGCTGGTTGATTTCCTTCTAGCCCCTTCTTCATTCTTTCCCCTGCCCCCCCACCATGACCTCTTCTTTTATTTACCCTTTGCTGTGGTTTGAATATTGTTTGTCCCCTTCAAAATCATATAGGAGTGTCATCCCCAACTTTTATGTTAATGACATTTAGAGGTGGAAACTTAATCTGATTATGTTGCTTAGAGGTGGGACCTCTGTGAGGTGATTAACTTAGGCCCTTAGATTATCATAGTGGAGGCCAGATGATTGAATCCTGATAGTTTCCTAAGAAGAAAAGGAGAGAACACAAAGAGAGATATATATACACATTCCTGCCATGGTGTGATGCAGCCAGGGGCTGAAGGGACAATGCCAGGGTCTGTGACATGCTGTTTGGATTTTCAGCTTCCTAAACCATGAGAAAAACAAACAAAAAACATGTCTTATCTGTAAAGTAGCTTGCCTCAGGTATTTCATTATAGTAATAAAAAGCAAATATTCCCTTTCTTGTCCTGTCCCCTCTTCTATCCTTCTATTACAGCATTTGCAGTGGCTGTCCTCCCTGTGAGAAAAGCTGTCCCTCCAACTTTAGATAGCACGAAGATATTCTTCCCAGCTGCCTTCAGCTGCAAAGAAGGTATTTGGGAGACACATACAAATTATATCATCTGTTATATCTCATGTGATATTTTTCCATTGCAGTTATGCTATTAAGTGGGTTCTTTCCTAGCTGATCAAACAAGACTTATTCAAAATTCAACTCAAACATGTTACAAGTTCTACATCTAGGGTTGCATTTATGAGGTCCCTATGCAAGTAGGTCTCACATGCCAAGTCTACCTTATTACTTACCCTTTGATTCTTCTCACCCATAAATGTAAATTGCACTGTTTAGAAAGTAACTTCTTGAAACATTTACTGACCTTTTTCAGTGATTAAAGCCCACACTCTCAAATTCTCCCCCTCCCCTTGAAGCTAACGTGCATTTCAGTGTAAACTCATTTGTAAGTCACTCAATCTCATCGAACACTCATCCTTGGGAACCTCAAAGACTGATTTGGAGGGTTCAATAGGCTTGATTCCCACTGATCAGAAATTGTCCTTTTTATGAACTCCAATGACTTCACCTCCAGAAGTGAATCACGTCTGAGCACCATAGGCTGTATAAAATTAGTCTTTCAATTTCTGATGAGTTCATAATCCTGTCCTGGGCCTTGATAATGTACTAACTTAAAAACATGGATCCTGAGTGAGCACCCAGGGATGTATCTGAATACCATTTGTGGATGATTAATTTCTGGTCACCCTGAGGATCCCAGATCTCTTCAGATCAAAGAAGACAAGAGGAGACATTTCAGGAAATAGCCTTTTTATGTATTAGTATTTTATGACTCTCTTGAGAAATAGAAAGAAATGATAACATTTCCCTGAAGCATTTCAAAAAGAAATGGTTCAAGGGGAGAAATCAACT